ACTCTCAGCTACTATCACACCAAACTTAAAATCACTTTCTGTGTTACTGATTGATTTACAGCCATTTTTGCGTTTGCTAAGGTTCCCAAATGGCAAAAATTTGGTCTGGCCCACACAATACACTAACACTCGGCCCAGATAATGCAAACCCAAACCACAACTGGGTCACTTGTGGCTCTGACCATTTTGGGCCACATAAGCCAAACCAAAACTTGGCCAGTCTTGGCATGCCGTGCTATCATTGCCAGAACTGGCAAATCACTCGTCATGCCAGCAGTCAGTTAGCTCGACACCAGATTAGGCCCACACCTGTCTGCTAGGTGGGTTGTTGCCATCTTTAAACAAGCTGACTCTTAAAGGTAATCAGTTGCAGGCGTCTATCCGATGGTTACTTGGTGAATGTTTCAAAAATAATTGAGAGAATCAGCAGGTCAATGGCTTACACAAACTGTCAAACTGACACCAAATTGGCCAAGAAAAATGCAACTGGTGCATCTCTAGGCTCTACTACACAACATGTTGAGAAGTGTTTATAAAGCCTGGTGTGTTTATATGTAGCAAACCTAAAAGTAACACAAACTTAAAAGAGATGTAACATTTTTACAAGCGCATGCTGAGGAAACAGATGTGCAAAACTCCCAGAGCCAAGAACATCTGGAATTGGAAACTAAATTGTGATTATCTATTAAAAAAGGGAAGAAAGAAACTGTTACCAGTGGTGAGAAACAGCTTTCTGTTTTAAACACTTTGGTCAGATGGCGCAGCTTCCCTGATTTCCTGAGGGGATTTTTTTCTCTGTCTTGTCTTTTTCCGGCTGCGGGGCGATGGCTCAGAGGTCTGTCTTTAATATTTAAAAGAAATGTGCCAACCTCCTCGCAATCACGAGGATCAAACAGTCCTTACTTTAAAATCCAAATTTAAAACATATTGTTAGGACAAGAAAGGCATCGCACGGGAGAGTTTATGTAAACTCCCTCTTAGCTGTGTGAAGTTCTCTCATCGTACTGTTTTTTTTTACTCAGAAGGCTCGGAGCATAGCTGTTGGAATCTAAAAGCTGTGTTTGCAGTTTTGGAAATCAGCAAAGTTATGTACGAGTCTGAGCTACGGCGTAGGACGGGGGGCCAGGAAAATATTTGCATGAGCTGAGGAATAACATCACAAAATAAAATGCTAATACGCCTTTCAAACACGCATGGTATTTCACTGTATTAGGGTGCAAACGAGGAAAACAATACAAAAAAATGGCATAAAAGTCTTGTTTAGCAGGAGGTGAGCTAACGCTACCAGAGAGGGGAACAGATGCTGATCATTACCAGGCTCTGGTACAATAACAGCCGCAGTGCTCCTTGAGTCTGGGGAGAGCGGGCTTTTGATTTTCCTGCCTGATGAGCCGTTGTGTATACGTCGGAGGGGTGGGGAGGGTGGTGGCAATATGTTGTATACAGCAGCCATCTGTGTGTATATGTGCGAGTCTGTATCAAAGTGAGCCTGATTCAAGCCCTCATAAGGGTGCCTGTGCAGTAGGTGGCAACAGATGTCAGTGTTTGGGTTCGGGATGCTTGTGCGGCGCTTTGTTTGGTGCATTAGTCTGTCCTCGGTCTGCCRCGTGATGAAGATGCAGTGGGTGGCRCCGGGCTGTGGCGCAGCGCRGGGGGACCCTAAGATCTCCTGGGCTGTGGCGGTGGATGCAGGCTCTATCCATCACCATCTCACCTTCGATTGAAGAGGGGTCAGAGGCAGAGGAGGAGAGAAAAGAAGAGGCAAAGCTATAGGAACAAAAGGATAAGGGCAAGGGAGTGTATCTACACCTGGGTGATGGATTTACTGTGGAATGATTTTTTTTTCTTTCCTTTCTTTGGTACYACTTTACAATAAGACTCCCCTCATAGATGGCTCATAAAGAGTTTATAGATAGGTTACTAATTCATCTGTACACACTTTATAAATCATTATTAAATGTTTATTATGCAACACTTGAGGACGAGAAACAGACAAAACTCTCCCGTTTTTTACATCTAAAGGTGCTTATTAAACATTTCAGACCAGGTTACTACATTGTAAGCACAATAACAATAAACACATATTTTAATATATTAATACTGTACTGTGTTACTGCATTATAAATATTCACAGCTGTCAAAGGGAGACTTATCATAAAGTGTAACACAGTACACTATTTATTAATGACAAATAAACATTTATAAATGCCAAAAGTTAGTCTTTAATGTGAAATTTTTTAAAAACTTTGTGCTGATAATCAATATTTGAAATTGTTGTTCAAACATGTAACTACTGTCAACAATGATGTATTAAAAAGGTAAAACACGTCATGTTAACCAAATAATCCCACCCCATCCAAAATAGTGTACAGTTTTACACTTTACAATAAAGATCCCTTTAATATTTGTGGCTATTTATAATGCAGTAAAACAGTACAGTATTATATGTTAAAATATGTGTTTCCTAATCATTATTATGCTAAACTAGTCTGAAATGTTTAATACACAAACAGATTTGGCTCAGTATTTGGAAAGAARCCGGACAGTTTAGTTTCTTTTTCAACCTTAATTAATGCATAATAAACACTTGTTAATAATTTATAAAGTGTTTACAGATTAATTAATAATCTACCTATAAACTCTTTAAAAGCCATCTATAAGGGGAACCTTACTGTAAAGTGGTACCCTATTTTGTTCTAAGAGGTGGATAATGCCTTAGCAACACTAGCAACAATGTCTCTTCTCTAAAGGTTTCTTTTTACCAGGGGCTTTGTCCAGACAGGATGGCAAATGATGTGATCTGCAGGGCTTCTGCGCYTATCTTTAAGCTGACAAACCTCCGAGATGGGAATTTGTGTGAGGGTCTCAAAAGTGGGCAGATGTAATTTACTGTGAAACTCACTCGCTGTGTTGCAACGAGTGGCCCGGTCATTCAGAATCCATTGTTAGTTAGCCGGACGAGACACGTTTGATTTGTCACGGAGACAATAACATAGAAATAAAAAGGCCTGTATTTACCCTAACACGCCACGTCTGAAGCTAAAAAGCTCCTGAAAGAGTTCTCTGAAAAGTGTAAGAAGGGAGAGGGAGCAGAGTGTCGATCCTTTGCACCTCAAAGAACCACTTCTCAGCAKGGGGCCGTGAAGCCGATCCAATTAAAATGCATAAATCTCTTGATGTGTCTCCAGAGCTGGTCTTTGACTCGTGAAATACTGTCAGGCAGGGCAGACTGTTGCGCTGAGGGGTAGCGGCCCACTGCAAGGAGTCATGTGACAAATTCACCGGCGGTACAACCGGGGATTTATGAGCTGCACAGAGATGGGGAGCAGTCGCAGAGAGAGGGWGAGAGAGAAGGAATGAATCAGGGGGTCCAGGCAAATTTGTCACATTTAAAAGGGCTGGGAGAAAGACYCCGGCTTGTGTGGTTGGGAGTTGACATTCAGCGCATGCACCTCGTGTCGCACTACRGCACAACTCGGGCCGAGCGAGGCTGTGTGTCCTCGTCTCGTGGTTAATGAGGTCCGTTTCCTCTCCTCTCGTGCCACGCGTGGATCAATCTCTAACCGTYGCTCGGGGCACGTGTGCACGGAGCTGCAGATTGTTTTTAAGCCATAAAACACACAATTAACCTCAACTATCCTTCCTTAAATGTTGAAGTTCCTTGTCTTTGTTGTGAAAAAAGTGACGAATGTAATCCTTTCCATCATCTGGTGGGATGTGCCTTTATTGTGCAGTTACTGATCTATTGGGAGTAGTGCCATATATGATAGCTCGTGGCCTGTGTCTTAGCATACCCTGGAAGAATGTAAATAATTGACCTGATATTGGGAAAAGAKTTWTCTTTCTATTTCTCAATTCTAGAAAAAT